CCGCTCCGGCGGGGCCTCACGCTGCACCACAGCAGCCGTGTCGACGCTCGCAACTGGGTTGTCGCTCCCGAAGCGAACGGATCCTCCACTTACACTCACGCCCTGCAGGGCGTCAATGCCGGTCATGCCCAGCAACACGTCTACGCCGAGCAACCGGGCCGGTACGACGACCGCCCGCACACTCACTGTCGCCCCGCGCACTCCAAGGCTGACCACAGCCCGCCCACAGCACAGCACCGGGCTGTCGTTGACAGCGACCAAGCTGGCGTCACTCCGCTCCCAGCAGGACACCATGCCCTTCCACACCACTGTCTCGCTGCACCCTGTGTCGACGAGTGCTCGGCACTTGCGCCCATTTACATTGATGTCGATGATGGGGGCTCTTGGGTCACTGCGGCAGCTGGCGACGGCGGAGCCCGTGGCGCTGATGTAGCGCCGTCGCCGTGCCCGTTTGGGCAGAGCCGGGCGATGTGGCCTACCTGGTTACAGGTCCAACACCGCAGTGGTGGACGGCGACCCGTCCCTCTGGCTCCCCGCTGCTGCTGTACATATGATGACGGCGGCTGGACGACAGCCACCGATGCAGTCGCTCTCTCCCTGGCCGCCATCGCCAACGTTGACCTAGCGACGGCGACGGCTCGCTCCAAGGAGAGAGTTTCATCTCCAGCACTGTTACGTACTGTTAGCCGCACCTCCGGCGGCAGACCTTGCAGGAAGTGCGTCGTCATCACTTCGTTGGACACTGAACCTATGAGGGATATCAGCCGCTTGACTGATCCCAGGTAGGCATCCACAGACTCGCCCGGTTGTAGACGTCGGTGATACAGCTCATACATAGCCGCGTCGGGTCCCAATGCAAATGCACGATGCAGTTTTTGGCGGACGATTGCAGCATCCCGCTGCTCGGTGGAGGAGAGGGTGGCCCACACCTCGTACGCCTGGTCCCTCAGGCGTGTGGGTATGACAGCGGCCAGTGACACACGACGCAGGGCACACAGCTGTGTCGCCTGCTCCAGCCATCTGACGACGTCACCGCTGCCGTCGAACTCCGGTATTGCCCGCAGATCGAATGCAGGCGCAGGAAACTCTGGTTCCATGGTATTGGTACCAGCTACCGGTGCACCACTGCCCTCTTCTACGTCATAATCACAACACTTAGTCGAGAAGGCCGAAATAGCTTGTCGTACTGACTTAAAAGTCACCGTCCAGCACAAGAAGAAGATCTATTCTGCTCTCCTCTACACCTTCCAGCCAACTAAACTCACAATCCCCCTCCTGGCACATCCACAGCTCGCAGACACACATCTCACATCATCACCAACCAATCGCGCTGTCATACGTCATATATCTCACATCATAACCAGCCAATCATGCTCCCATACGTCATGCCCGGCCCAGCTACTTGCAGGGTGTAACTCGGCCCTGCCGGCATCAGATGCCGGCGGCTATGACCAATGCTGGGTCACCGGTTCACAGCTCGACGCTGAAGCTGACTCACACTTATACGGCTCACATTCATCCTTGCGTCACGCTACATACCCTCAGAGCGGTGATCCAAATGTTTTGCCAAGCGCGAGATTGTCACTGCGGTTGCATAAATGCAGCTGTAAACCGTTTATTTTACCTCTGGCTTCACAAAATTTAAAAGGTCGCAAAATGACCTTCATGCTCGATACCAATTATGCCGTCCAATTTGACGCTCATGAGAAAGTTTTTGCTAACAAAAGCCTCAGTGACGCTGTTATTGCAGATTATTGTGAGGATATAAAAATGTTTGCAAAATTATTTCAATCGATATTAGAGAAGTTTGATTCCATTTTCTTTAAAGGAATACATTCAATAAATTTACTGGAACACTAATGCACCCAAACTTCCCCAAAAGTGCGACGATTGAGTAATTGAGTTTGACACCGCCGGTGGTTCATCTAATGACCTATTTCACATTTCCCGTATAACGACACCCGCCATTAAGCGCCACTGACCTGCGATTGGCATCTGAACTCATTAATTCGGGTGTGATTGCCCCAGACGGCGATAGCGATCGGTGTTTCTTCACGCGGTCACACCGGGCCGGGCCGCAGGTGGCGTCATCTAAACTATCTCAAACTCCGCGGAACAATGCCCTCACAAAGCACGCACCACTGCCGCGGGTGATGGCGGGCAGTCATGACAGCTATGGCTTGGTTCACGCAGTCATTGTAAACGGCGGCTACCAACCGGGCGGCCAACAGCTGGTCTTTTCTAAATTCGTGCGCAAAAAGGCCGTAAACTGTCCAGTTGGCAAACTGTGTTGCAGTGGGCTCGGGGGGAGGGCGGCGGCTCCCTGAGTTCATGGGCCACTCTGCGGAGCAGGCAGCCGTTCTCGGGACCGCCGCGGGCCGCGCCCTGCCGCGCTCCGGCCGATTTCGCGGACCTGTCTGCAACTGGAGCCTCTCCTCCCTCCCCTCCCCTCCCTCCGCGGAGCTGAGCGGCCGAGACGGTTGCCTCACTGGCGGTCACGTGACCGGTCAGCGGCCGCCGGGTCGCGTGCTCCGGAGGGGACAGGCCGGGCGGGGCGGGCTGACCATCAGCCGGTCTTCGGTCGTGTTACAACACATCTGCCATGGGGCGCGGTCGGCCTCGGCGTCATTTCGGACGCTCCGAGACGCGCCCGGCGGCCCCTCCCCTCTCTCCGGAGATCGCTCGGACGTCCCCCTCCCTCAGAGGGGGGCGGGGTGTCCCGGTGCTCCCCTCCTTGTGCCCCGATTTGGTCTGGCGGCCGGCCGAACCAGGCGCGGCTGGTGGGGAGCCGACGGCCGGAGAGTTACTCTCCTGTGAGTCATTGCAGTCGCCTCCGAGAGCATACTTGAACACCTGTTGACGCCGGTAGGAAACAAACCGGACGGATTACCTCACGGCTCGGTGGCATTTGGCTGATGTCTAAACAATGCTGGCTAAATTTATGTTTACAACATTCATGCCATAGCAGCGTATTACAGACATTTCAGGATTGCGTTTGCTCCGTCGCATCCGTCAAATAGTATTTCAGTACGTGTGAGCTTGTAGGCACATCAGTAAAAGTTGAGCCGCTTTCGGGAGAAACTGAAGCGACAAGCCTTTGGTGACAATTCCCATTGTCGGTGCGTTCATTGCGCCACCGACCGGTATGAGTCGTTCCGGCGGATTCCGCCGCATTCCACCGTCGGCCGTTCGACCATGCGTCACGGCCTGGCGCCGGGGCTGCCGCGATCGCCCGTCATATCGCCCGCAATCGCCCGTAATCGCCCCGATCGCCGCCAGACTGCCTTTCTGTGCCGATCTGCGGTAACCTCACGGCAGTGCAGAGGCGTGGGACGAGTGACCCCTGCCCCAAGGTCGGCCTCGGGGAGGTCTTTCCCTGCGGAGGGGAGACAGCCGGCCGGGCGGAGCCGCCGCCGCCGCCGCCCACATCTGTCCCCCCTCATCTCTCTGAGGGGGGATGACATCAGCCGGGCAGCTCCGGCAGCCCACACACCTGCTGTTAACGCGGTGCCGGCGCGGGGGCGCACTGACGAGCACCAAAGATTCCGTAAACAGGTTAAATGATTCAATCAAAATACATGCAAACATAACCTGTATACGGAAACTTGTCAATCAGAGATGCTCTAAAGCTCTTTTGATGCGACGTGCTTTGTCTTTTATTGGTTCACATCAAACCAGTTTGAGATGCGGGGAGTCCTGTTCTCGCTGCTCCCTGTTCCCTGAATGGTCACGGCTCGGCGGCTGACAGGTCTGGTCTCTGTTCCGGTGGTGCTGGGGCCGGTACTGCCTGGCGCCGGCCAGTCACGCGCCGGCCAGCCCCGTCATCAGCCGGCGGGGTAGTCCGGGAAGGAAGCGGAATGGGCGGTCGCCGCCCTCTCACGGCGCTCCTCCCTGCCGCGGCGGGGGCGGCGGCGGGGGCGGGGGCGGCGGTACGTGTCGTCGCTGAGTGATGAGCCAGATCGTGCCGACAAAGTGCCCCGATCTCCTTCAGAGCACCGTACAAGTCCGGCCAGGAGATCGCCCCGGTATGCTAATACCGTGCCCCCAGCCGACCTTGATACCCCAGCATTGGCGAATCCTTTTAGTGGAGCCATGCATAAGGCACGCGAGATAAGAGCTCCGATAGGTTTGGAGCCGAGGTCAGACGTCAACTGCCCCCTGCAACCTGAGACATTCTCCGAGCACTCAGAGATGGAGCTGCTCGCAACTGTGGGCTGGACTGCACGACCCTGTGAATCAAACCAGCAATGTGACCACACCTCTGACGGCCGTCCCCATCCCATGCCTGGCTGCCTAAATCGGTGACTGTGTGTGCCGTGCAGTAGCTGGAGTGTAACAGGTGCCCCGGTACCGTCGCACCCCTCTGGTGCTGCAGCACCGGCTGACAGGACAGGGGAGCCTCCCGACCTCGGCCGGCTGAGGGCACCTCCTGTCGACCTCCGTTCGCTCGCACTTTCATCGGCCGGCGGCGGCGGACTGCCCAGCCACCAGGGCGGGGTGGGCGCCGCCCTGCGGTGCCTGCCGGTCGCGCCCGATTGCGAGATGACCAACTGGAGCGGCCGCCGTACCCCCGGGCTGGAATACATTATCACCAGACGGGGAGTGATGTTCGTGCCGCGGTTGGGAGAGGATCAGACTGACAGCAATTATATCTGGATTTGAAATAGCAAAGCAATCTGAAATAATCATCATCACCAAACGAACCGACTGTAATTTATTTTGTAACACGAAAATATTGAAACACGAATGCCTCGCTTCAATTACGATGTAACGATTACACTTAACTGGCCGGTAGTTGCCCATAAGAGTTGCCTCGTTGCCAACTCATTTACGGCTGACGCCGTGGCGCGCCGCCCCAGTCAGTCCCGTAGTGTGTCGCGCGCTGTGTCCTGGGCCAGAGCACGAGCGGGGTGAGAGCACAGCGTTGGACTCGTCCGCTCGTCATCTGGCCCAGTCCAACGCCGCTGCCGCCGCTCACCCCGCTCTGGCTCTGGTTTCAGGATGGTGCGCAGCGCCCTGCTCGTGCTGCTGGCTGTGGCGGCCGCCTCGGCCCAGTATGATCTGCCCGGCGGCTACCTGCCGCCCCAGTGTCCGCCGGCGCCGGCTCCCGTCACTAAGACCGAGGTCCAGTACGTGACGCGCACCACGGTCAAGCCCGTGGTGCGCCCCGAAGTCCGCTACACCACCAAACAGGTGGTCTCGTCGCGGGTGGTGCCCTCTGAGATCGTGTCGACGGTCGTCACCCAGCAGCCCACCTACGTGTACCGCACTGCCGTCGTCACCAAAACCGAGCTGCGCTACAGCACGAGCGTCGTCCAGATCCCCGGACAGAAGCGCGTCGTTCAGAACACCCTCACCAAGCCGGTGAACAAGGAGGTGGTGACTGACGTCTACCGGACCGTGTACACGACCCTGGTGCAGCCGACCACCCTGGTCAAGACCAGCATCGTCACCAAGGTGAACGTGGAGAGCAAGTACGTGCCCAAGTACATGCAGGCGGTGACGACGGTGGTGGTGCCCGGACCGACCGTGTACCTCACCAAGACGAAGCAGGTGGTGCGCACCAGCGTGGACTCGCGCCAGCAGCCGGCCGTCTACCGCACCAAGTACGTGACGGCCTACACCAGCGTGTACCGCACCGTGCCCGTGCCGGGACCCACCGAGACCTACCTCCGCACCGTCTACCAGACAAAGCCGGTGGTGCGCACCGAGGTGCGCTACAGCACCCAGGTGCTCACCAAGACGGTGCAGCAGCGCGTGCCGGTCGAGGTGACGGTGACGAGCACTCAGTACACCACCCAGGTGGTGCCGCGGGTGATCTACAGTACCAAGTACGTGCCGCAGTACTACACCAAGACGCAGATTGTGGACGTGCCTCGTGTGGTGACCGTCACCAACATTCGCACAATCAGCAGCCGCGTGCCGGCCTACCCTGTTTACCGGACCAAGTACAGCACGGGCGTCCAGTACAGCACGGTGCCGGGCCAGGTGCGCCAGCAGGTTCAGTACAAAACCGTCACCGACTACACCACCATCTACAGCACGGCCACCCGCGTGGTGCCCCAGTACACCACCAAGACGGAGACCGTGAAGAAGCCGTGCGGCTACAGCTACCCCGAGCCCAGCAACCCTCTCCGCTTCTAGACGGCGATCCGGACGGCCAGTCGGCGGGCTGGCAGCAGAGGGGCCGACTGGTCGCTGAAGGACGCAGTCGTCCCCAGCGGCCGGCCGGAGCGGAGGGATATTTATTGGCGTACCAGTCTGAAATTTCCAGCCAACGCGATGCAGCGCTAACAGCAAACATCGGACCCCTGCTGGGGCGGCGACAGGCATCAACAACACGAGTGGATCCGGTTCTCATTATCGAGAAAATGCTTCATTTGATATGACAAACGCTCCAAATTTGTTATGCGTTTGTACTGTACATGAGTGAAATATATGGTCTGTCAAATATCTCCGTTGTTTTGCGTCACTTTCAGACTTTCATCCACTACACAATACACACCTAGGCAACTACAAAACTTTACAAGGTGAGTTACAATTCGTTTCTGTAATGTTACGAGCCTGTTGCGCTTAATAACTTCTTGGTTTGTATCTGGGAAACCCTTAGTTATCCTGAGTGTTCACTCTGTGTTTTTAATAACCTGATCTTCCCAGCCGACTCATTCCCTTTGATCAAGCAGGTCATGACTGTTTACCTTTCATCACTTTCCGACCGTTCCAGTCAAATATTCCAGTCAACTTGCCCTTCTAACCCTCTGTCCTGACCAGACCAGCCCTTCTGTCCTGACCAGACCAGCCCTTCTGTCCTGACCAGACCTGCCCTTCTAGCCTGACTTGTCTGTTCGAGTCGGTCGGTTCGCTGCCGTCCGCTGATGTCGCAGCTGTTGGCTGACGTCCTCCCCCGCCGGTGTTCCAGGATGACGCCCCTGCTGGTGCTCGCTCTCCTCTCGGTCGCCGCTGCCGCGCCGGACGGCTACAACTACGAGGCCCCCAAGTGCAAGATCGAGTACCCCACAACTGTGGTCGAGAAGCAGTACAAGACCAACTTGAAGACTGAGTACAGCACGCGCGTGGTGCCCGAGTACAAGACCAAGTACGTGACGCGTACCAAGGTGGTGCCGTCGTACGTGTACCGCACCGTGCTGCGTACAGAGTACGTTCCCAAGACGGTAGTGCAAAGCGCCACCAGCACCTACGTGCGCGACCAGGTCGTGACGAGCCAGGTGCAGCTGCCCGACCAGTACATCACCAACAACGTGTACAAGACGATCACGCGGTACGTGACGCGCACCCAGGTGCGCCAGGTGGTGAAGACCGCCTACCAGCCGACCACTATCTACCGCGAGGCGGTCAGCACGGCCTACGTGCGCTCCACGGTCGAGGTGCCGCGGTACGTCACCACCACCATCACGCAGCGCGTGCCGGGCCCGGCCAGCACCGCCTACCGGACCGACTACGTCACCAGCACGTACGTCAGCACCGTGGTGCTGCCGGCAGAGACCGTCTACGTGACCAAGACGCAGACCAAGGTGAACGAGATCGTCAAGACCCAGTACCTGCCGGCGGTGACGGTGACGGCCACCAAGACTGACGTGGTCTACCAGACCAAGGTGGTGACGGACGTGCGCCTCAGTTCCCGCTACACCACCGTGGCCGTGCCCGTCTACTACACCAACACCCGCGTCCAGCCGCTGGTGAAGACCAACTATGTCACCAGCAACAACGTCCAGTACACCACTGTCACACAGGTGAGCCGACTGAGGTCATGGGGTCGCGGAGGGTCACGGCTGTTCACTGGGGTCACGGCTGTTCACTGGGGTCACGGCTGTTCACTGGGGTCACGGGGAGCGTCATCGTCAAGTCACGGGGCTGTGCCGGTTGGCTTTCGGTTCGATGCGCCTGATGGCGCTCCTAAACTGGCCAGCTGTGTCTCTGACATCACCAAGGAGAGGCCTATAACGTAAACGGGAAGTTGTTTGGAATATTTCTGGGTTGGGGTGTCACTGCGGCGGTGTGTGGGCTGGCAGGGTGGGTGTAGGAGCTCAACAAAGGCCACCTCCCCTGATATGATCGACACGTAATGAAATCCGCCTCAGCGAAAAGGGAGAACCGTCATTGTGAAAACTAGCAGCGCGGTTAGCAGAGGAAGGGGACATCTGATAATCAGTCAGAGCCGTTTGTTTACTGTGAAAGCATAACAAAGCAGCATTGTGGTGACGGATGCACTAGGGAGTTAGATTCGTGTCACCTTTTTCCATGGCGACTGCCCCCTGTCACATTGCCACACACTTCCTGTGTGTATTTCGGCCTCGCTCTCTGACCATAGCTCAACTGAGAGCGATGTGCGCTGTGTTTCATGTGCCCCTGCCGTCGACTGACCACCGCCCCTTCCACAGGCCCAGACCAAGTACGAGCAGAGCACGCGCTACGTGCCGAAGACCCAGTACGAGGAGGCCACTCAGGTAGTGACGGTCAAGGACGCGCCCCGCACCGAGTACCGTACCGTGCCCGTGTACGTGACGAGCACCGTGCAGCTGCCGGATACCTACACCACCGTCTACCGGACCAAGACCGTGCAGCGGCCCGTGCAGAAGGTGGTCAGCGTCACCCGGCCAGAGTACCGCGAGACCACCGTCACCCAGACCGTGGAGGGCAAGTGCGGCTACAGCTACCCGGAGCCAACCGTTCAGCTCCAGTACGGCAAATGAGCGGCCGGCCGGCCGGCGCGGCGCGGCGGCGGCTCAATAACTTATTGACGGGGCCGGAGGACAGAGGGCGGAGGGCGCGGCAGAACAGTGTGAGGAGCGTCTCAGAGGACGGCTCGTGATGAGGACGGGTCCTCACGGAGCCGGGTCTCGGCCACAAACTCCAGTTGAGCGCAGTTATTCTTTACGGGCCACGCTTCGGTTTCTAAATTATCACAAACCGATGAAACAGCAGCGTGGAAATTGATTGATGAAACTGAAATACAATCTGACTGTGTACCTGTTGTGTTTTTACTTCTGAAATACCTTGACACATGAGAGAACTCACGAAGCGATGCGAATGATAGGTATCAGTGGAACGGTAAATCACTATCACCAACATTAAACGCATCCGCCACATTAATGGCATTCCAGGGAAGGGATGTTTCTAATTTATATGCCTTATATACCTAGGCTCAAATTTACCACCAAACTCATGTTCAATAACAACTGCATGTCCATCCGCGTCCGGTTGCTGATGAGAAGTATGAACCTAATACATAATGCATTGCATGGTCATTGGTCATTCTTTTAGCTAACGCACGTGGGCACCCAGAGACTTGGGAGGAAAAAGGGGCTGTTCAGTCATTTTTTCGTTAAGCACTTTGAATTAGGTGGGATGAGTGAAGGACAGAGATCAAAATAAACTTAGGTTCCTATTAGTGCGGACGATTGGTATTTATGTAAATGAATATAAAGCCTTTTCCAACGCAGGTACACAGTATGTTCCGTTGAAGCTAATGAACAGGGTCTTACCAGGACATTTTTCAGAGTTTGTTAAATCGTTAGAGCATTCGGTGTTTTGCACACCTTAGCCAGAAATCATATACCTACCGTTACGCTGAAATCGTTCATTCGGGAGTTTCAATCGGAACGAACGATCTGAACGATTGAATGTTCTAAGCCAATTTTCGTTCTGGGCGATTTGATACGGTCGATAACAATACGACATTAGGCAAAGATATTCAAATACATGTCGAAAGTTTAAACGATATGAACGATGTCTGATCTCACTGTGTGGAGGAGGTCTACTAAAAACTTGTCAATAGGTAGCTGTAGGCCATAGGTACCATTTCCCCCATTTTTTCTCAATAGCATGTGTAATTAAACATGTGTAATACCGCTACTACATTATACCTAACTATATAAAGGATAGATTTAGGTTGTAGGCGCAGTTGTAGGTACGATATCTCTCAGGCCCATAGACACCGGACTGATAGTGGGTCTGATCTCATGAAAGCCAATCAATTGGCTATGATAAGCTTAGGATTTCCATTTAACCCGGGCGGGCCCGGGGGTAATCCCAACCACTGCAGCCCGGGAGGGGGGCGTTCCCCCCTGTCTATCTCCGTAAATAAGGGAGCTACGGAAACAAACGCGATATCAAACGAAAGTTCCTTACGAAACGATTCTAAAGCATCTAAAATTTTTGACCTCAGGTCAATTTTCAAGGTCAGAGGTCAAGGTCAAAGGCACAAACCGGCATATGTGTAGTGATCTCAAAGTAAGCGTTCTTAAGGACGACAGGATGCATACAACCGGCAAAATTGGGTGTCAAACGAAACAAGAGAAGCTGAGAATTCCAAACATGTGCTTAAAATCAAAGATCAAGGTCAAGGTCATCCTCAAAATTGACCTCGAACTTATCACGTTTTCGTACATCTTGCGTGCTAACTTCCAAGATGTTTTGAAATGTGTTGAGGCTTATCAGGTCCCTATTTGTGGTTCATCTTACGATATAAGGCTGCTCAAAGATCAAGGTCACAGAAGAGTATCCTTGCTAGAGGCTATTTCACTGAGTCAAGTTAGTAATAATAAATAAGACAATTTTGCCATCCGGAGGCTTTAAATGAAGGATTAGAGGTAAATTAGTGCGAGATTCGTGATCAGCGGGTACGAATCCATCATAAACGAACTTTCATGTGTCAAGGTCAACCAAAGGTCATTCGAGGTCACGTGAGGTCAACATAAAACTTGACCTTTTCCAAACAAAATATATATCATTCGACGCGGCTTGACAAGGCAAATGCGATGGTACCACTGCCGTAGCTCTAGGGTCATTTTTGTCGAAGTTATTTGCGAAAAACTAAAACCACATTTCGGGGTCGTTGACCTGACCTCTGACCTCAGTTAACCAAAAATGTTTTTTCACTAGGTCAAACGCTACACAACCATGCTCGTAATTTGTCTTTATCTCTAAAACTCTATATTTAGCTGCTAATTGAAGTTCGCGTCTGTGACGCCGAAGTTTGCCGTGCAGGGGTCTAGACAAATCGACGCTGTGACGTCACCAAGGGGGCTAGGTCCAAATTTTTTACTTCAGAAGATTTCAAATTGATGGGGAAAAAAGGTACTGAATGTTTCGCTTTCCTATCCCTCAGCGTTCGGGAGCTATCGCAAATACTCGCCAGGTGGGGGGGGGGGAGCAAAAAACACCCCTCCCCCGGGCCCGCGAGGGTTAACCCTCGCCCATGTAGGGGGGGGGGGTTGGTGCAACCCCCCCCCCTGAGGTTTTTCGGAAATAGTGCAAAAACGGCGGCGCGCAGCGCCGCCAAATTTTGGGTACCTTATGGGGGAAACCTTGCGCATCTTTTGATAAAAAAAATTTGACCGGGTCATGTCAGGTCACGGAGTTATGACGTCACAAAGGGAACAGCCTCCGGCCGGATTTTCACAAACTGAGTGCCAACGCCCGAGGTTTCCTGCCGGTGGTACGGACATCGGTTGATGGATCGTGATGAAACTTCCCATGCATGTTGGGGCAAGTATTGGCTATCATATGGTATAAGAAACTTGACCAGGTCAGGTCAGGTCACGGAGCTATGACGTCACAAGAGGAACAGCGTCCGGTACTATTTTTGAAAAGCGCCCGAACCACTATTTTGCTAATTCTTGTCACCTCAATGGGAATATGCAGCAATATTAGCTGCTATAGGGAGCAAATGGACCTCCCAAATCCAAAAATACAATCAGATTTCAAAAATTTAAATTTTGATTTTTCGAATTTCTGCCGCCGACTGTGACCTTGCCGACTTCCGGCGCTCCCAACGCGCCATTTTTAGAGCTAGGGAAACGAAATACATACCAAACGATAGAGAATTGATCGAGAACACGATAGTGAAGGTTTCAAGTCGATATCTCCCACCGTTTTGCCGCAATCGCCGCGGAAAGTTGAAAAAAGTCTATTTTTCCGAAAATTTGACCTTTGACCGGTCAAAAGTAGGTCAAATGTTGACCTAGGACCAAAAAATATACCACCAATCGCGAGATCTCGGCGAGAGCAATCCGTTGGTCTTTTCCGCTAAGCTCTACGACGCTCCGTTTTCAAACGCCAAGGGGGGGGGTCGCACCCCCCCCCCCCCTGCATGGGCGAAGGTGGCAGATCGCCGTTTACGGGCGAGGGTTAAGGGACTGGCCCGTGGTCTGGAAGCTCCATAGGACTCGTTTAGGTCTTAGAAAGGCGACAAAGGCGACAAATTGTTGCCAGACTTAAGCGACGTCCTGCCACTTCAAGGAATATTTATAAGAATATATATTATATCTATATTTATAAGGAATATAGGTATTATAAGGAACAAAGAAGCAATTAAAGTCGATGTTTAAAAGAATATACTGGTATAAAAGTATTAGGTCGCATTTAGTTAGGCGTGCGATAGGGCAAGAAGCTGGACTGGCCTTGCGCTGCTTGCGCCGCTACATAACAAAACCACCAAGGGGGTTTTCCACCACCAGCCTGACCGAATATTGCCTTGGGTGTGACTCAATGGCACCACCGAACATTTTTGGGGTGATTGCTGTTCCGCCTGAGTGCAGCCATGCCGCCACCTTACTAACCGACATCAGATTTGTATGTGAGACTGGAGGGTAATGGCGGCAGTATGAAGTATCCCGCGATACCAGGTCAATAACACTGCCGCTGACCGGTCAGCCATTCGTGTCGAGTGGTAGGATACTGCAGCATGTGATTTATTGAACGGAGTCATTGGGGTATGTAGGTAAAGGAGATACTCCATGCATCGTACGGTAAGGCTGGTGCAGGGTCGTTCACTATTCCATGGCTCCCAGCACCGACTGAAAGGCACTGCACCGGAGAGTTGGGGTTCGCGACATATCTTGGCCAAGCTGTAAAGCGTCTTAAGTCGTAAGTGCAGTTATTAAGCTATATGCTTCTAAATCTAATGGCTGGCTCAATGGTGATACTTTCCTTGCTGCTTCCTGAATATCAGACGTGCCGGACTATCGTTTGGGGTTTATAAGAAGACAGCATGAAAGGACGTTGCGTACGATTTCGTACATAAGCTTGATTATAATTTCAAGCCTTATGGGATTTAGTACCAAAGGAAGACGAATAAATGTCATATCGGCATTGATGATGAAACATAGAGCAGATAAAATAAGTGTCATGCCGTCTATCCCTCCCCCCTTCCCTCCACCCGGCCAATGAATCCCGTCCCCGCCATCACGTCTATACATCCAGACCTGTTCGTCCGTTCTTCCGTTACTTCCGTTTCGTGCATCTGTTTTCCCATGAGGCAAGACATGACTCTCCAGCACGTACACATTTTTTTTTGCTGTCTGTGTGCTTACAAAGGTAAAATCCAGTCTGTTCGAATGGTGAATGGTACTGAAACGCAGCACCTAGAACATGGGCCTAAGGCAGTGCCGAAGATGCAGGCGTTCAGAGACACACTTCCACCGATGTGACATAGTTACTCCCATAGACACGACACGCAACCCACTGTCGATGCACCGGTGTGATCCTGACCTTCATTGTGCGCCACTGATGTGATGAAGATGATGCTGAGCCCAGCCATGTCGACTAAAACGTGTGTACGGTTATAACATACCCTGGGAAAGAATTCGGTTTACTATGAGACATCCGGTTTGTGGCGTTCCTGACCTTAAATACGCGTCAATAGTCATCTCGGAAAATACGGGATTAAGATGACGATTAAGAGCGAGCACAGGCATGTGCATGGGGATGGAATTAAGACGAGAGCGGTTCAGGCCTGTTTCTGGACAATCGCTCAATCAGTGGTGTGTGCGGTGTTCTGCCTGCGAGCCGGCACCAGTTTTACATAAAAAAAAATATATAAACGGACCCAGTCCTCATTTATTCAGATCGACGCACCCTCTGCGTGTTAGTGCTGACAAGACGGAAGAGGATAAGGTCGCGTCTGATAAAAGGTCATTATTCTCTGATAACACGTTAAATGAGGTATTTGACTTAATCAAAACTG